GATTTAGCACGGCAAGTAAGCGGTACCCTCGGTTGTCCATGGCAACGCCTGCAGCGAACACAAAGCCCTCAAACAGCCGCCTATTTTATATACAAGACCGAATGACAGGCACTCAATTCTTGGTGGGCACGGGGGCTGAAATAAGCGTAGTACCCCCAGTATGTGACGACAAAAGAAACCTTAACACTTCATTGGTTCTAAAAGCGGCGAATAAATCAGATATTAAAACATATGGCAAACGAATGTTATCCTTAAATTTCGGACGAGGCGCGACATACCGCTGGGATTTTGCCATAGCAGACGCATCGGTACCTATAATAGGCATCGATTTCTTATGCAATTTCGATTTACTAGTAGACTCATGGCGCCACAGACTCATAAACGGTACCCATACTACTTCGATTACGAGAATACTTACAGAATCTGTTTCTATGAACCTAGTGGTAGATAAGAGCCGCAACGACCCACGCAAATTATTGTTAAACGAGTTTCCAGAGCTTTTAAAAGTAACGTACAATAAAACAGATCTCAAGCATACTATCCAACACCATATTGTAACCAACGGACCGCCGGTTAATGCAAGGCCAAGAAGATTAGACCCAAAAAGGCTAGCAATAGCAAAGCAAGAATTCGACAAGTTAATGAGGCTAGGCATAATAAGGCCTTCGAACAGCCCGTGGGCATCCCCATTACACATGGCTCCGAAAAAGAACGGAGAATTAAGACCAAGTGGAGACTACCGAGCACTTAATAAGCAAACAATGGCCGATAGATACCCTATACCACACATCCATGATTTTACTTACAGTATAGGTGCTACAGTATTCTCGAAGATTGACTTAGTTAGAGCGTATTATCACATCCCGGTCGCTCCACAAGACATACCAAAAACAGCAGTAACAACCCCTTTTGGGCTATATGAATTCTTACGCATGCCTTTCGGACTGACTAATGCAGGACAAACATTTCAACGGTTTATTGACCAGGTCATCAGAGGCTTACCTGGAGTAAACGCATACATAGACGATTTTCTAGTAGCCAGCTCCACTATGGACGATCACATACAGCAACTACGGCAATTATTCGCGCGACTAAGAGATCATGGTATTTCCATAAACATTGAGAAGTGTGAGTTTGGAAAAGGATCCTTACAGTTCCTTGGACACATGGTAACTTCTCAAGGTATCACACCGATCTCTACAGAAATCAACACCATCAGAGACTATCCGTTGCCCGATACACGAAAGAAATTACGACGATTTCTAGGACTAATAAATTATTACAGACGTTTTATTCCGAATTGTGCTGCAACACTTTAACCACTGACCGATGCGTTACGGGGACACTCCCGGACATTCCAATTATCAGCAGAGGCAATACAGGCCTTCGAGAACGCCAAGAAGGCACTTAACAAAAGACGACATTAGCTAGAAGAAAGAGCGAAACACCGTTAGCTATCATGACAGATGCATCGAATGTGGCGGTAGGAGCTGTTTTACAACAGTTAGTAAATGGCACATGGGAACCACTTTCATTCTTCTCAAAGAGACTGAATCCTACGCAAACGAGATATAGTACTTTCGGAAGAGAATTACTAGCAATTTACTTGGCAATAAAACATTTTCGACATATGGTAGAAGGCATAGATTTTGCAGTTTACACAGACCACAAACCACTCACGAACGCACTAAGCGCAAAGCAAGATAATAACTCTCCGAGGGAGATCAGACAATTAGAGTTTATTTCCCAGTTCACTTCTGATATACGATATATTAAAGGCCCAGAAAACGAAGTAGCTGACGCACTATCAAGAACGACGATAAACACTCTCGTCCAATCCGAAATCGATTATCACGAATTAGCAGAATTACAAAATATAGATGTCGAGTTAAACAGACTGAAGTCTGACAATACAACCTCTCTGGTACTAAAAGAAACTTCAATCGAAAACGTGAGTATTATGTGCGATATTTCTACGGGCCGACCAAGACCATTTATTCCGAAGTCTTTAAGACGAAAGGTTTTCGACACTATGCATAACATATCACATCCTGGGATAAAGGCCACAATCAAATTAATCAGCGAACGTTTTGTATGGCCAAGTATGAACCGGGATGTTCGTAATTGGACGCAAACTTGCATAAAATGCCAAAAAGTTAAAGTACATCGTCACACCAGTTTTGCAATAGGTCCTTTTCGTCATCCGGATAGCAGATTTGAGCACATACATATCGACATTATAGGACCGCTGCCGATTTCAAATGGCTTTAGTTATATTTTTACGTGCATTGATAGATTTACGCGATGGCCTGTGGCAGTACCCATAAAAGACATTTCGGCCGAAACTATAGCCAAAACCTTAGTAGAGCATTGGATCTCTCATTATGGTGTGCCTGCACACATTACAACCGATCGAGGAGCTCAATTCGAGAGCCACCTCTTTCAACAGCTCACTGAACTCAAGCGTATTCGGACAACATCTTACCATCCGATGGCGAATGGTATGGTAGAAAGATTACATCGGCAACTCAAAGCCTCTCTTACATTTGTTATTAGCAATAATGATTGGGCCAGCAAGCTCCCATTAGTCATGTTAGGTTTAAGATCAACAATTAAACAAGATATAGGATGTTGCCCTGCAGAGTTGGTTTATGGAACCACTTTACGTCTTCCAGGAGAATTTTTCACCTCAAGTAAATGTGTTCTAGCTGATTTAGCCAACTATGTGCAACGTCTAAAGCAGCATATGGGTAACCTAAGAATAACACTCCCCAGACAACATCAACAACGTGTGTACATACCAAAACAACTGAGCGACAGTACCCATGTGTTTATTGGAAGGGATAATGTGCAGCGTCCCTTACAACCAGCTTACGATGGTCCATTTAAAGTTATTAGAAGAAATGATAAAACGATTACAGTAGATAAAGCCGGAAAAACGGATGTAATTAGCATAGACCGAGTCAAACCAGCTTTTATCGAAGCTGACGATCAGCCAGTATATACAGATCATTCGAAAATCGTCCAGTCACCGAAACGTGAGTCTCAATCATCAACGACATCGACGAACAAAAACGAAGAGAAACCAGTAATGACAAGATATGATCGAAGAGTAAGATGGCCTCAATGATACATAGCTACGATTTTGAACTAATAATTTATTTCGCATCTTCAGACGTAAATTTCTTTCCTGTTCGTTTTGTATGTGTACATCGAAAACTTTAATTTATCTATTATTATAGTCAACAAAGTTTGCATATTCCAATGTAAATGCATAAAAACCTCTAAAATCACTAACACATTAATTTGATCTGTTATTTTATATGGCCTCACGGATATATACGAAATCAAACTTTCACGTACTTGTAGTAATTCACACGATAGTTCTATCATACATCTTAATTTCAAAAATTTTGATATTTACTGTCCTGTTAAGTTTAACATTTTTAATTCGCAGACACGGACACTATTTTGTATCCATGTTTGCTGGGGGGGAGCTATTATAGCAACTCAGATACAATTGAGTTTGTTTGCATCTAATCTGGCTAAGCCCTTTTGTTAACTTATTTAATGGACAGTCATTCATACAATAACAACCCATCTATACCATTTCACTTTTATTATATACGCTTGAACATTGCTTACTGCCTACGCATATATTCATTCCGCTAGCATTATTATTAATCGCTTATTTGATCCGATGATTCATGCCTTTCCGCTTATATATATATGTACATCTTAATCCTGTTTACTGCTCTACTGCTCTTGCCCTGCTTGCTCTCTGCTCTGCTCTGTATTACGCTACACCGTACTGTATATGCTTACTCATTCATCCGGCTCTATGGCAGAGCTTTTTCATGCTTGTTTGACGTACCTGTAATATTGGATAACTGTGTGTGGTTCAGTAATAAACACGATCAACTCTTCGTATTCGTCTTCTGATTTATACATCGTTAGGAAGTAGTCGAGTAACGGTTATCAAGACGAACAATATACGAAGCTTAGGGATAGTACCGAATATCGACCACCAGAAAAAAAGTTTCCAGCAGAGGAAGAAATCAGGAAGAAGCGCTGGAAGTGGATTAGGCACACCTTGAGGAAATCACCTAATTGCATCACAAGACAAGCCCCCACATGGAATCCTGAAGGTCAAAGGAGAAGAGGAAGATCAAAGAACACATTACGCCAAGAAATAGAGACAGACATGAGAAGAATGAACAAGAACTGGATAGAACTAGAAAAGTAGGCCCAGGACGGAGTGGGTTGGAGAAAGCTGGTCGGCGGCCTATGCTCCATTGGGAGTAACAGGCGTAAGTAAATAAGTATCGTACGTTAATTTATTACACATTTTCACGTACTTTTGTCTTTAAAGATGATTAATTCTCATCCCCTTATCTTGTGAAACAGCAACTTTCGCTCTAATGGATCCAGCACATCACATCATTTCAATTATACTGGTAGCAAAGGTTGAATTTGTTCATTGTGAACATAGTTCAAAATTATTGGTGTTAGTGGTAATCACTGCAATAGTGCAAACAGAAAGAAAGTATGTTGTCTTTGGTAGTTTCTTTTAACTCGATAGATAATGAGTTTGTTTTGATCGAATAAACGATTTTCACTAAATGTCTCATTAGCTCACTTCACATTTATCCTTTGTTTTTGTTTTCCAGTCATAATAAATGGTATTCTATCACCGTCTTTAACATAAAGAGTATAGTATGACTAAATGTACCTGGATTCACAAAAGCGAATTTTAATTGATCCATATTAAAATGATCAAATGTAAAAGTTAGTGTTTTAGTGATTGTTGGTAAACATAGATCGTTTCTGCCGGAAAAATGCCCATTTAAGAGGACTTTAATTGTTCAAATTTAGTGTCAATAACTAAACTGATTTAAACATAAATTTATAAATTTTGATCTTTGTTATTTTGAATTTAACTGATAACGATAAGAAATATGAGGAGCTTTCTTTTCAGTATATTTTCTTAATGTTATTTAGCTTAATATGGATTATGTCTGGAGTGGCTATAATGAACAAGGAAATACAATTGATATCAGTAGTTCAATTAATGGGAATAATGACCAACCACAATTAACTCAACAACAACAACAACAAGTTGATGAATACAAACATTTTCAAATGACTATTTATAATTATTTAATAAATCTTCATAAAGAATTTGAATATGAATTAGATCGAGTAACAAGAGAACACGAACTACAATTGTTTAAAGTAAACATTTTTATATTTGGAATGTGTTTTATTGTTTCTGATGAAATGTTGATGGTCTATTATGTGATTGTTGGTACATTCTGTTCAGGCATTTGAAACATCTATTTTGTTAAACCGTAAAATGTTTAAAGTTAAACGCTTTATTTCAGACTTGGTTGAACTGGATAACTAGCAATAGTATTTGTTTGTACTCTCAAACTATTATAACAAGAAAAAAAGCCATTTATTTACCAAAAAAAAACAACAGAATTTGAACGTGTTAAAGAAGAAAAAATTTCCACTTTAATGATATCATTTTCTCAAACTGTACAACCGTATTTAAAGGTAATTTTTACACGTAGTGTTTTGAATGAGGATACAGGTGAGGACAACCAACTATGTATTTAACACAAATTACAACGTTACTTGGTAAAATATAAAAACCATGCTATGATACACTATTTGCAAAATGTTCTTCAATTGCCTCAGACTTCATTGTTCCTGCATTTCCACACAAATTGCTTTTTATTTCTGTTCTTCTCTTCTTGATCTTCTCAATCTTCTGCTGTCAGATATTCTATTCCTTACTCACCATATATACTACTTATGTCGATATCAGTAGCTCACACCCTAGTAGTAGTCTGTAACAAAATAGAGGAGTCTTTAAAAAATTATCAAATGTAGTCAAACTTATTCAAGTGTATGTCGATGGAAATGAAGTTGTGTTGCATAGTATAGTCAAGATTGTGGTCAGAATGGGGATTTGTGGAGATTTTAGTAATTTTATTAAGAGAATTTATTTTTGATGTGTGGGCGAGAATGTCAATGATTGGTTGTCTCGATGAGTCAGACATTAGAGGGGATGACAGGTGTTATGTGTTATATATATATTTGAACAACATATGTAAGCGAACAATTGTTTTCAATTAGATCGTCATCAGGCTTTACTCTAATATACATGAATATTTATATAAAAATGTTAGACCAATCAAGGCTATTTGAGTCAATAATAATCACAATGAAATAGAAATACGTTACCAAGCATAATAATAGTTAAAAGTACAAGTTGATAGTGGGAAGACAGGTGTACTGATAGTAGTAGTAAGAATAGTAAATTACGATAACAAAAGTCTTATCAATAATTAAACATTGAGAATTAAGAGGTCAAACGTGGGTAAATAGTCTGGAATAGTAATCACAAAATATTAAAATCATTACGTAATAAGAAGTATGTAAGTAAATAGATAGTGAAGAATACAAACGGAAAGAGGTAGAAAATTACAAACAAACAAAAAATGATAACCAAAATAAATAAAAAAAATTAAAAAACATTTTTTTACAAATAATAATAATGTCAATTATTAAGTTATGTCCGGCCATGGAAGGGATAGGGGGGTTACGAATTTCTTCTGTACACATAAATTGGGATGGAATGTACGAATCCCTATGGCTTCTGCTATATGAAGTAGACGGGAGCGAACTCCGTTTTGTGATTACTATTCCAGACTATTTACCCACGTTTGACCTCTTAATTCTCAATGTTTAATTATTGATAAGACTTTTGTTATCGTAATTTACTATTCTTACTACTACTATCAGTACACCTGTCTTCCCACTATCAACTTGTACTTTTAACTATTATTATGCTTGGTAACGTATTTCTATTTCATTGTGATTATTATTGACTCAAATAGCCTTGATTGGTCTAACATTTTTATATAAATATTCATGTATATTAGAGTAAAGCCTGATGACGATCTAATTGAAAACAATTGTTCGCTTACATATGTTGTTCTAATTTTCACAATGGGAATCTTTAATATATATATATTTCCCTATCCTTATTATCTATGAACTTATTGATTAACTGTTCTTTGTGTCGGATTTTCGTGTGGAAATATATTGACGTCATAGTCAGGCTAATCTGGTGTTCTTGATCTGAGTTGTGTTGAAGTCCTGTAGAATAGACACTGGGTGAGAATCTAGTGTAGATATTCGTCTAAGATAAATTAACGTCCCACATACGTGTAAGAAGTAAAAGGACTGCTATAACCAGAAACCCCTAAAGTTATAACCAGCATCCTCTCTCTCTCTCTCTACGTTTATAACATTTGGCGACGGCATACATACGTTTATAACATTGGCGACGAATACATACGTTTATAACAATTTTTTCATTCCATTTCGTCGAATTAAATGACTAGTTTCGAATTCGTTATAATTGGTTATTTCATTTCTTAGAATTGCTATAAAATGTAAGTACTTGTCGATAGAGTACCTTTTGTGTCGTTTCTCAAGTTGTCACAGAAACGGATAACATGTTTTTGAATACATTGTATGTGGTAGAGTTCCAATCACTTGAAGCATTAAAAGACGTCATTAAAACTTATGAAAGAGCTACGTTCTGCCATTATGCGGTGAGAGACTCTCATTTCCATAGGGATCGGAAGCCGTATATCAAATTTGTATGTTGGAGAAATGGCAGTAGAATACCTAGATGTTCCTCATAGTCAACTAGACGAAGTAGGTAATATGATTATTGTTATTATATTATTCACTAAGGACTTCCATGAATATTCACTGTCTGGCCTTCATCTTTTGTAAGTTCATTGATGGTTACTAGACTGTTGTTCGTGGGAATGTGTATCACAATCATGAGAGCGATTCCCTGAGGTATGATAATAATTCTTGGATACGCAGGTTGAAGATAAGACCAGTATTGTAGTTTGACAACTATAAACCAGTAACACCTTCTATATTCGAATCGTTTCCCACTCCTTTAAAATCAGAAGTCACATGCGAAGAGGTAGAAAAGATATATTTGATGCGTTATCAATATATCCAGAAGCGGTTACTCTAATCTGGCCAGTGAACGTAGGAGCTGTTTCCCACGCTGAGCTGTAACGTGATCTGATGCAGATGCATGACCGAACGACTTCAGCTAAACAAATCCACTTAAAATAATATGCTCAGCATCCAATGTCGAACACTTTGAAAGCTATTGATTTTTGGAAATTATTAACAACTACAAGGTCAACGGACGCTGTTCAAGTAGGATAGCCTAGCGTCAAAGAATTTTTGTATTCCCTAGTGAGGCGTTTGTCCAATGAACAATGTAGTGTAGTCTATAACCGTGCGCATCAAGTGGTTAACGGTACGATGCATTTAACGTCGTTGACATTATCTGCAGCTACTGAGTTTTAGATGATGTCCTCCACTCTTAAGAATGTTACATTGCCGTTGACCTAACAGACGACAAGTATTGACGAAGATGAAATTGTTTCTATTGATTCAGAAAAGTTTACTGAACGAGACAACAACAATAACGAAGATGCCCACGACAACATACTGTCTGAGATTTCCAATCTTGCACATCCGCCAAGTGAATGTGCTGATGGAAGTGCTAGAATATTTTGTCGATGCAACGCAATTTTTTTGCTTGAACTCAGTACCACAATTCCATGGATTCCACTGTCCCATGTGCGGCGCTATTACGGAATCATAGTAATGTCATTGTTCAAAAAAGCTGAATTGTTAAGAGACCGAGTAAAGGCCCTTTATAGGGCCACCCACAATTTAATTTAAATTCCTTTGATTCAATTTCTTATTTCCTTGGGAAAGGTCGTGATGAGTTAGAATCAAACCAAAGTGATTAAGCTATCAAAAATTAATTTGGGATTAATAATTCACGTTTTAGTAATACATTTATACTTTTCATCAAATGTTTATATCATCTAATAAACACCAATCTGGCTAATAACAGTACATGCAAAATTTATTAAGAATGAATTCATTTAGTATTGCTTGTTTGAATCTTCCGATTGATGTTTAGGACTGCAGCTAGTCAGTCTCTAATAGGCATATGTGCATACTGTGCGTATTGCCCCAATATAGACTTAATTCACAAGCATGGTAAGCAAAGATGGAATGTTTTAATGTTTTTTTTAAATTGTTCAGCTAGACGAACGTATGCTTTTATTTATTACATCGAAAGTAAACGTTTATATAACCAAATCTCAATCGATACAGTTGACCTCATTCGCATTCAGCGATATAATGGACATAAATGTTTCTGATGTCAGACGTAGGGATGTTAATTTACACTTAATATGACCAATATTTCAATTACTAGTCGAAAACGGTTATTTTCTAAGTGATTAGCTGTTTTGGTTTTAATATTAAAATGTGTCTAAATATTACGAATATATACATAAAATTTGTTAGTTTCCGTCTAAACATGTTTAACAAATAAGACCCATCATCGGAAAAATGATTCTAGACATTCTAAATAAGTAACATATCCGATCTCATTTACAAATAACATCAAAAAATTAAGATAATCATTTGGTCAGATTGCATACTTACAAAACATTTGTTATTGACATCACACAAAAAAACTACAGTTCACTTCCCAAACACAATCTCTGATCTAAATTACTGCATACACAGAAAAGTATTTTTATCTTAATTATATACCGTTCAACTCCATAAAATGTACAACGTATAGTTCAAACAATTCTTACTTTTAATAGATTAGAAAAATAACGCAATTACAATCTTGCGTTTATTAACGAAACTGTTTTTCTACAGTAACTGTTGTATCTGTCGTCGTGATCACTTACAACGGCCCGTTGTAGACTGTGAAGTGTTATTTTCAAATCGTTCTTGTGCTTCTTTATGCGTTGTAGATAGTTGGCTACATCAGTCCAGACACTTTCACCCAAAGCGAAAATTTCTCCGGGTAAACGTAAAGTAGTTCCATAAACCGACTCTGCTAGACATCTAATCTCTTGTTTAATTGTTTTTTTGGATACTGCATTGGCTACTTCGTTATCATTACCTTAAACATATAGTATGCGAGACATAAATTAGGAAGTATATTTTAACTTTCGAATTTCCTTAGGAGAAAATTATCCTTCTTGGCGCCTAATGCCTTCGTAAGAGGTTTATGATCTGTGTACATAATGAAACATGCACCTTCTACAATATGTCGGAAATGCTTTATTGTCAAGTAAATTGCTAGCGGTTCTTTTCCAAACGTACTATACCTCGTTTGAATAGGATTCACTCTCTTTGAAAAAAATTAAAGTGGTTCCCATGTGCCATTTCTTAACTGCTACAATACGGCTAATATTGCCACATTCAATACATTAGTCATGATGACTAATGGCATTTCACCCTTCCGTCTAACAAGTATCGTCTTTTCTTTAATGTTCGCTTGATATTCACGTATGTTTATATAGCCTCTGCTGACAAATAGAATGCCCGGGTATGTCCACGCAATGCGTCTGTCAGTGGTTGCAATATTGTAAGTGAATGCGGAACAAAAACTGCGCTCCCACTCATCTAACTACCACCGGTTCTACTCCTGTTATCTTTTACATCACATCATTTTTTGATCA